CGTCATCTCTGGTTTGGAAAGTTTCTGCGTTTGTTCTGCCCACGAACTGCATTTGACATTGTCTGGCGTACATAAAGCACATGATAGCATAGATTATTGCAGTGTATTAGATGGTGGAGTCCGGGACAATTGAATTGATGTAGAAAGGGCACCACTTCTGAGGTGAAGCTCAACTGAAGCGTCCGGTTCCGCCTTATGAGTGCTTCGTTATTACTACGTGACCACATTATATATTCAATCAAAGTGCTAACAAAACAAATCTATAATTATTAAAATGTGCATTACTCAAAATGGGAACCGAATGCACGTCTTATCATTACAATTGTTTTAATGTTAGTACGTGCTTAATGTGGTTCGTCATGGTGGTGCCAATCGCTATATCGGTATCAATTTGTTTTATTAGACGTTTAATTGTTTTCAGCCTGGTCGGTCTCGGGATAATGTATGATACTCATCATACATCACAATGTATGATGTATGTTATGTATGATACTGGCATATGTCTGGTTGGTCAAAACAAGGGAACACAGTCAGTATGATGACACTGTCGAGATGATTTGTCACCGTTGCACCCAATGTGAAAAGATTATACTACGTCGAAAAGCATTCGCTGTTAGCTTGTAATATATTTACTTTAACCTAAATATGCCTTTGGAGGAGAACATCAGGAAATATTGAATTTTCCTTTGTAGGACCTCTTGATAAAGTAAGAATCACTAGCACCCCGACCACCACAACTACCACCAATACTGTCACTACCACACCACTACCATGATTACCACTACTGCGACTACCACACCACCACCATAACCATCACAGCGACTTCTACCATGAACATCTCAGTCACCTATGATTTCCTCTTCCAAACGTATACCACAACATTCAGTGTATCATGCGGATCCTATCAAATTGTCATAAAAATTGTCACTTCAGCATCGCTAGCATCAATAATATAATCACCACTACCACAACCACTCCCATAAAAATCACCACTATCACAACCCCCACTACATAACGCAACAACACAACACAACACAACACAACCGTCTTCAATTTCACTACCAGGACTGTATCATTATTTGTAATTGTCACTTTATTATGTCAATAACTTAGATATTACACCGCCTCCACCAGTATCATAGCTATTGTCCCTAGCAACATCGCCATCATCGCTACCACCACTACTAACAACTACACAACCACCGTTAATATAAATTCCCGTTTGCCTTCTTTATTGAATAATAACTTATGTCAAAAGTCACCTCAGCATTAACATTATTCATACCGTCAATACCACTACCACCTGTATCATGAACATCACAACCATCTTCGATTGCGATCCCCTCCCCCCCCCCCCACCTTAACCACCATCACCACCACTACAACCAGTACAATCAACAGCGCCACCGCCTTCAATTGCATCCCCCATTCCCAACCTTAATCGCCATCACCACCACTAGCACAACCGCCTTCAGTTGCAGCTCCCATCCCCCCACCTTAACCACCACCACCGCCACTCCAACCACTACCAACCGTCATCACCACCATCACAACTCCTACAACCAATACCATCATCAGTACAACCGCGTTCAATTATCGCCTCCCCCATTCCCTACAATAACCACCATCACCGCCACCCAAACCACTACCTATCAACATCATCACCATCACCACCACTACCACCACTATCTCAACATCACAAACAACTTCAATTGCATTAACCATTCACCACCTTAACCACCACCACTATTCCCCTACTAATCTGCAAGTGAGTTAGTTATACCATGGTTAGTGGAAGGGGGGGGGGGGGTATTCCCCTTTTTAGTCCGGGACATCTAAGTTTACGTGTGAGTCATGTCAAAAGCTTTTCTTCCGTACATACATGTATAAAGCAAACAGAGCAGTACATTAGATGAATTAGAGACCGAATTGTATTGATTAATGACGTCACATTCCTGATTGGATTATTGAGTAGCAAACATTTAGTGAACTCATGTTTCACGATTTCGCGTTTTAAGTATTTGGCTATTTTTTTGATAAATATAAAAAAAAAAACTGTCATCAATGTGTTTTCATTGATTTTCTTTGACACGATCGGAAAGTCATGCTGAATGATCGGCCTGTGTGAATTTAAATTACATTGTCCCCCCCCCCCAAATACGCAAACATGTTAATGATAGTTTCGTTACCAGAACATGATGTCCATATAATCATCATTACAGTGTACTGAAAGTGCCTCGAGTTATATTATCGAAAGATATGGTGTTTATTTGTTATTGTTATTTTTTGTTTTTGTTTTGTTTATTTGACTTCTCACCCATTTCAATTCAGTTATTTAGTAAGGAACTCCTGTCCGCTCGATTACTACGATCCCTCGCATGTAATCTTCCTAGTGAAGAAAGAACCCTCCTGCTCCTCCTCCTTCCTCTCATCGCCCCCTTCCATCGCTGACAGAATCCACCCTGTATGCCACAGATGTTACACGACACTTGCAAATGGATTTTGGTTTCGTATATATGTTGAACACTTCATTTATTATAATAAACTACACTCACACCACATACTTGATTACTAATGCCTTAATATCAAGGGTCAATATTAACTTTCCCTTGTACATTAAGTGGATTGGAATAAATACTACAAAGACGATTAATCACAGAACACAACGAGTTTCAAGTAGGAATTATAACAATGTATAAGCAACTAAAATCTTCTTCCTCCTTGTTTCCTCTTCTTCTTCCAATGCTTCTTCTTCTTACTCTCCTTCATCTGATCATCATTTTTCTACTAACCTTTAAAACGCTATACAGCCAATCAAAAAAAATGGATTAAAAATAATACGAACCAAATCACACAGATAACAACAAAAGATGGAAATTGAATACAAGATAAATGTCTTCCTCTGAGTTGCAGCCTCAAAATCCAAAAGGTGACAACTGCTGCATCTGTCTTGATGGGCAACCTCTGTAAAGAGTTCGTTTGTAGATGTATAACATCAGAAAGATAAAAGATACAGACTGGCGAAATTTCGAAATAAATCGGACCAATGATATGAATATACGAAATTATGAGATCATCAAAATCTATGCGAATCTCAAACTGGCAATTCGGTCAGTGGCATTTAACGTGTCTTCTCCCTGGAGGTTATACACAATATATATTATGGATAGCATAACTATAGTTCCTCTATGAGGAAGCATTTGAATAATAGTTGAAATGTTAGACATATTGTTCTTTGAAACAAATGGGAAAAGTAGTCCGGCACTGTACGTCACATTGGCATCACCAGTTAAGTCAATTTGAAGTGCCCATACACCAATCTGTACGTGTAGTAATTACAACTTTTTAAAACTCATAACTTTCTTATTTTTGTTCGATTCGTTCAAACTTTTACCAGTCTACTTGAGTCTCTAGTCTCTGCCTTTTTGCTTTCTTTTAGATTCGTTGTCTATTAAAGGTTGGATTTTTATTTATTTCAGTTCACCGATATTCGGAGCGCAAATTCAGCGGTAACTTCGTGGTATTTATGACAGATTGTTATTGCGTTCGAATTTCTTTCATGTACATTTTTAAGAATGTATTGGGAGAATGTGGTCTTTCTACCTATATTGGTCGCTATTTAGCAGGTTTCAAAGGGATTGCAATAGCATAAAAGCTATAAAAAAAACTGTAAGAAAAGTAATGGAAGTAAATTATGATTTATTGATATTAGCACACTCAGGAGGAGAGGAAGGCTTGTCCCTTAAACAAAACAAAAACTATCTCGAAATAAGAGGTAAACGGTGTGATCGCAATGTTTAAAATGTGGAAAGACAATTTATACTTTACAATACAACAGTTATATACAGGTTATCATCATGACTTGTTGAGATACAGCGTTGATTGCGTTCACCACATGTTTTCTGTAAAACAATATCGATATCACTCGATTGTCGTGAAAAATCTCGCGTCCTTTGATATGACGTCATAATTAGAATGTCTCTCTAGTTTTGTGCTCTCAGTATGTGTCAGTATTGTGTTATCGGACATGTCTCTTCCTGTTGTTATTGTTCTCGCTGTTGATAATGTTGGTTTGTCCGACGTCGGAAAACCAAGTACAGGCAAATACTCGGAAAAAAGCCAATAACGCACAGTGAATATAGTGCCATCATCGTCCATTGTGTGCCAGTATGTACACAAGACAAGATCTCCCATAATCAACCTGTTGTTGATACCTATTTGTCATAATGATAATACTGTGGCTATATTTATTGCATATGTTTACTATTAGCAGGATCCTTAAATAACCACAGTATCTGTATTGATACTTAGTTGACCTCGAAAGGGATACATCTTTGAGATGTTACTCGAGCATCATAATTTAAGCATTGCCCCCACAGAATAACCTCAGAGGTAATGATAGAGGAACTGTTACCCTCCAGACCAGACTTGTTTCTATATTTTCATCACATTCTTCCATGCAACCACATTACTCAAGTCGAACCTAAACAAAAACCTCTATCTTGAGTATAGCATAACCGAGCTTCATACTGAGTGTGGGTAGCTATTATGACAAGGCCTTATAGATGCGGTGTACAGTAAAATCGTTCAGACCCGATATGAGGCAGTAAAACTGACACAGGTGTGGCCTACATGCGCCACGCACGCATAGGGATGTCATCCAACTCAAAGGCATCATAGGAACTGCCAAGGATTAGCCTCAATACATCAACCTTGAGCCGCTTCCTCGGGTAAGAACTGTGCTTCCGTGTAATCACTCTCCTCGGCGCCTTCGACTATCCTCTCTGCTGCTGCTACATTCACCAAGTGTTTTGTCCTGACTGGAGGCTCAGGCTGGTCCGAGGAATCCGAGGGGAACTCGTCCCTTGAAGCATATAGATCATTATCCACCATTATGGTCGTATCTTCGTAGCTGTCTTGTCTCAAGGACTGTCCAATCCGATGCTGCGAATGATAGTGCAACAAATTCGCAGCTTGTATTGGCCCCTGAATGGTCCTTGCAATGCCACTCTTCACGTTCTGGACGAGTCGTGAACCGTACAGGGGGGTAAAGACCTCTTTGCCAGATTGGACGTTGATCTTCTTACGAGCAATGTTCTCGTAGTCTGCGTCGCTGGTGTAGAGATCAATGGAAGCGTAGTAGTCGCTGGAGTTGCTGGAATGTTTCCGGATCGGGAGGGTGAAGGAGCCAGAACCGGGAAGGAGTCTGCGGGGTTTGGGACATGGAGGGCTGTCAGGTGGGGGCGGGCTTTCCTTCAGTTGCAGGTCACAGCGGATTGCTTCTACCTCAGGGTTAGTGGCGCGTTTCCTGTTATAACGAATATATTAAAGAATAAACATCTGTTAGCCACTGGAAGCAATATCAATAATAATCAAGGTCTAAAAATCAGTAATATAACAAATCAATGTGGGGAAACAATAATATTGCAGATGTGCATGTCTTTAAAAAAAAGTAAAGATTTTGATACAGCTGCTATACAGTGCGTATAAAAGAGTGCAACCAACTTTGGTAGCTTTTAATTAAAATCTTATATCCTGTGTGAACTTGAATCTTATTTCATAGTAAAGAAGAGTTGATACCTTGTCTAATCGGATACCATTTGCTGCCAAGGATAATTGGAAAATAGGCTTTTCAACCAGTATTGTCAAAATCCTCTTGTACCAAGTTTGGGCTGAAGCAATGAATGTGGTCAATAGCCATTATGCGTGTGTTATCTCATCCCAAAACAATGCTCTTTAACAATACATTGACGATTGGGCAGTGGAAAAGGTGTTAGCATCAACTCAAAATCAAAGAAATGCTTATTACAAGCACAAGTTATGATATTCTCTTCGTTACGATGATTCCATGCTTGACATCATTCCCTAATCCCAATCCCTAACCCTGACCCTAACCTTCTCATCGAGTGAAACAAAGACAGGTAAAGTTTATCAGGGATATTTTTTATAAAGGAAAGTCTGCTGTCAATTTATTTGCCATGTACATGTATCATCATACATGTTCTTTCTTGCATTTGGGTTCAGTAACCTTTGATATTTCGATCGCTATTTTATATAAACACCTTATGCTCCTTAGCGTGTGAAATGGTGCAGTGGACAAATGAGCAGAGAGAACTTAGATATCAAGAGACAGGAAGTTAGTAGGCTGTCCAAGTAAAGGTTATCTTGTCGATTGAAACAAGGTTCTGTGAAAGCCTAGTTACATTGCATCATTTAAGGAACTCTTAGCCAGCGCAGCTGAATATATTTTGTATAAAAGCTGCGCTATATAGATTTATTATCATTATTATTATTATCATCATTATTAACGAAGCACGAGGCACGATTTGACTTTTAAAAGGATTTTAGAGCAAAGAAGCACATTCATATGGCCTGACCCACATTGGTTCCTTAAGCCCGTGTTATATAGAAATATATTAAATATGGTATCATTGGACTCTAAATAGGTTACTCTTCATCATGAAAGCAATTTCAAAGTCATATTAATTATAACCTTTCAATTAGGAGCTACCAATGTTAGGTAGACTTCGTATTGATCATAAACCCTATACAGCTAGAGACACGGGCGCCTTGCATGAGGAAGTTTGTAAATTTAAGCCACTAGTTAGTTTCCTTGTTAAAGTGACGATCCGTTTCCCTGCCGGAAACCTCTAAAGCAGGAATCGGAAGGGAAGGCACAGGGTCATCCCAATCAGGATGTTGAGTATATGTTGGCTACTTATCAAACACACAACCAATCTCACCAAACAGTGGCGGATCAAGGGGGCGGGAAACCAAAAAACGAGGAAGAAAATAATAATAGTTTCATATATTGCTTGCATGTTTAAACTTTGTCTTATTTTTGTTAGCTTGACACCGAATTTTCAGACCCACCAACCCCCTCCCCTTCCCCATACCAAAGCATCCTGGTTACACCACTCTACACAAATGAGAGGGAACCACAAAGCAATTTCATCAAAACCAAACGTCCTTGTATACAATCAAAATTGTCAGGATATAAAACATGCAGTCTGTAGTCAGGAATTCGAACACATATAAGATGTATAAGATAAATGAAATGAATTCGAAGAGAAAATCTTTTACATTAGTCTTGTTGTCAATACTGTATCAATGTTGCAAAATGCAAGAATTTAAGACCTTTCCCATATATATATGTGGTCACAAGATTAAGTTTAGGACGCTTAGTACAGAATGAGAAAGAGTCAACACCTGGGACCCAGAGCGCATATCTATTAAATTTCAATTATTTCTGCTCTTTATTGTATTTTACCTGTGCAGTTCATTAGTCGAGAGGTTTCCTTTTCTCCTTTTTTTTTTTTTTTTTTTTTTTTACTTCTGGTCCTTTAAAGGTAATACAAAGTTTTGGTATGGGGTCATGAATTTGGTTCAAATGATCATATTGGAAGCATATACGATCCTACAATATTCAGTGATCGTTGTCGCGTTCGAAATCGACTCTAAAGATATGAAATTGTAAATAATAAACACTTTATGTTGAATAGCTCCCTCTCAAGGTCAAGATATTAATTAAGCTATAAAACAATGTTTATTGAATAAAATCGACCGATTAGCTATTCTCGTTCGGAAATTATATACCACAACTACATACTCTGAGATTTTCATGGTCGCAGCTACCATTGTACGGCCGTAGAAGCTATTTGAAATTTATCAAAATTTACCGGGAGCACCGGTAAATCTTTATATTCAATTTTTCTCGAAAGCAGAAGTGTTTCAGGGGCTAATTTTTCTAGTGCTTCTAATACATCCACAGGGGCATCCAAATATATCAAAATTGTAAAGAATCATTATCAACCCTTTTTTTTAAATTTCCCAAAACTTTGTATTACCTTTAAGTTTAGTTTCATATGGAATCATATTGTAACTGATTTCAAAATCCAAAACTTCTAAGTTGGAACTACTCTTACTGAAATTTCGTCCATCGCAATTCCATCGCCATTAAAGGTAAACTTGAGTACTGGTAATGCGATTGCATTGTGAAAGAAAAGGTGTGGAATGGATCAGAAAAGTTGATCATATAGCATGTAAGTAATGGTGTGTAATGCAAGGTTCTAGAGTCATAAAAATCATCATAAATTTGGCAGAGTCTTGGTAAAGTAACAATCACTTACACAGATGGATGTATATGGGACAACACACATGGTGTCGGGGCTAGTACTACCCTGATTTCCTTATTTTTCTATGCTCATTACTCAGCCAGTATACATTTTCTTCCAAAATTGTTTGGCACATGACATTTATTTGTAATCTTGAACATTCAGTGTAAGTTTCGTTAGATTTTGTGAGAATTCATTTTCTTTTTTTTACCAGAACTCAAGTTTATCTTTAATTTGTGAACGAATAGTCTTCTAGATTTCCCGAAAGACCGACGGTCCACGAGAGCGCCAACCCACGAGCCCTCAAGAGCGCCAACCCACGAGCCCTAAAAATTGACGACCTACGAGACCGACAGGCCTAAAGAGCGCCATCCCACGAGCCCTCAAGATTGACAACCTGCGAGACCAACGGTCATCGAGAGCACCAACCAACGAGCCTTCAAGATTGACGACCTGCAAGACCGACGGTCCTCGAGGGCGCCAACCCACGAGCCCTCAAGATTGACGACCTTCAAGACCGACGGTCCTCGAGAGCGCCAACCCACGAACCCTCAAGATTGACGACCTTCAAGACCGACGGTCCTCGAGGGCGCCAACCCACGAACCCTCAAGATTGACGACCTGCAAGACCGACGGTCCTCGAGAGCGCCAACCCACGTGCCCTCAAGATTAACGACCTGCGAGCCCGACAAACACCGAGAGCGCCATCCCACGAGCCCTCAAGATTGACAACCTGCGAGACCAACGGTCATCGAGAGCGCCAACCCATGAGCCCTCAAGATTAACGACCTTCAAGACCGACGGTACTCGAGAGCGCATACCCACGAGCCCTCAAGATTAACGACCTGCAAGACCGATGGTCCTCGAGAGCGCCAACCCACGAACCCTCAAGATTAACGACCTGCAAAACCGACGGTCCTCGAGAGCGCCATCCCACGAGTTCCCAAGATTGACGACCTGCGAGACCAACAGACCCTAGTACCGACATCCTTTGAGATCAACAAAGATGTCGCCCTCTTTGGCTGGAGCCGATAATTTGAACTTCAATGAAGATTAAAGGTATAGACCAGTTTTGGAAACACGCCCCTCTCAAAAAGTGAAATGGAAGCTCTTATTACCAATCATATGAAAGAACATGTTTTTATTAATACGTGATATATTTGGTAAATTATCATATCGATCCGGCCTGGATAAAAATCGCAAATGCACTTCAACATTGAACATTCGGGCATATATTTCTGGTTTTTTGCGAATTGAGGTTGAAGTATTGCCTTCTAAACCTCTGAAGGCAATATTTAAACAATATTGAATGGATATTTTGCACACAATACCCTTGAACCGCAATTTTACCATTATTGGTCTATATCTTTAAAAAAATCAATAAAAGATCATCGTCACCTTTGTTTTCTTACGACGGCGACGACGATAACGGAGCTGATGAGGAGAACGGTCGCAGGGATGGCAGCGATGACACCCACTATATCTCCTTTAAAATAGAGAGAAGAAATGATATTAACAATTTTTTCGAATATGAAAGAGGATGTAATATTTGTGGTTATATATATCATATTCATGCATAACATGGAAATACTGTCCCGGAGAGAAACTAGTAAAAAGAAGCGACATCGTCTAGGTGAAAACAAAAAATGGAAGGTTTAAGTGATGAATAATAACTTATGTAAATTAAGAAATCAGTAATATGGAGAAAAAAATTCCTGAATCATAGTAACCATGAAAGAATTGTTTGTAAATCATTAAATACGGAAAAGAAAAGTGAACCTACTTTAAAGCTACGCTTGTTGCGAGTAGTTTCACTGAATCAATCTACTAAATTTTATACACAGGAAAAAGACAGAATACACATACACTACACTAAGACAAAAAGAGAAATGAGAGTACAAAAAAGAAGAAAAAATTGTTAAAGAGGAAAAGGCAAGATCCTTATATTACCCAGTGCTACTATAGATAATTTTACGTGTACATAATGAATCACAATGATTAGTAGAACCCATGCTGATTCAGAGAGGAATCGTGCAATGATCAAAGACCTTTTTACCTGAAAGAGCATTGAGGTTGACTATATCCCTCGTTGGTGGCGCTGTTACTCTTGTTGTGTCGATCGTTGAAGACGAATTGGTGTCGACTGTCGAGACGGTCGTTTCTTCAACTGCGACGTTTTTTGTTTTCATCGCTGCATAGAATGGAATAATAAAATAAAACAAAGTTTCGTTTAATAGAGAAGCCTTCGTCTCGTTTCATAATTTTATTTTCATTAACAATGTACAATAGCTCTTACAAACTACTAAAATGTTTCATTTGATTGGCTGTCATCAAATTTGTGTTATGTCAATGTGATGCTTGTAAAAGCTTTTTTTAAATAAATTAGAACCCCTTCTATAAATATTATTTAACTACTGAAAACAGCTTATACAGTATGTTTGGTTGATTTCATACATTCTAGCTATACATACAAATGGTTTCTTCATCAGTTTATTGGTACATTTTAATATCTCACCTTTGCAGACGGGTGTAGATTGTGACCACGTGACCTGACCACCCTTGGCGCCCTGCACGCACTGTAACGTGTCGTGACCTCGAAGGCGATGACCTTCTTTACAATCGTACTTGACCTTAGACCCGTACCGGAACCAGTTTCCCGTTCTGCGTCCATTTACAGGGCGTCCAGGATCGAGGCAAAATCCCTTATTCGCTATGGATAAAGGGTGATTTGAGAAAAGAAGATGTTGTAAAGATAATAGGCTATATAGACGAAGAGACCAAAAATTGTCTTCGAAGTAGAGAAGAGGAAACAAGGCGTTACCCTGGAGCTCAGAAATTTGGAAAAAGGGAAAAGCAGACAGCAGTCGCCTTATTAGAAAAAGGAACGGGATAATCATCGTCCAACCCATTCATATTCTCTTTTTCACAATAGATTTTTTCATTTGTGCATTTTATATTTTATTAACAGATCTATTTTCTAATCATTTGAAATAAATACATATGCTTTTTCAATTCTTTATATTATAGCAAATATTTAGTTTTGAGTTTTCAACTTTCCGACAAGAACATGTAAATGATTTATGACGGAAGATACAACATAATTTGAAAACAAAATGACACTGTATATAGTTAAAACGAAATGGGGAGAAGAGGGGAAGGGGGATTAGGTGATAAAGAGCTATATCTAGGTATTTAAAGTCAGACTTTAAGTTATCTATTTCTTTGGGAATATAATAAACTAGTATGGAGAGAATTATCTTACTGTTGTAAACAGAAATCATATCGTCAGTTCCCTGGGAACAAGTAGGCCCTCCACACGTTTGATATCTAGCGCCCCCACACGGGCAAGAGCACATTGCGTCAGTGGGCGAGAGCGTGCGCACATCGTTATGGTTACCACAGCCGCAGTGCATGGAATCGAACGTCCAAGCGAACTGGTAGCCGCCGTCACGGCAGTTTCGGAGGCACGCATCGACGGTCATGCTGCTGGAGGAGAAGGCATTGGTATGGAGGATGGTGGAGTTTGGTTTGTTGAAGCACCCAAGATAGTCAGGTTCTGTGACAAGAAGGAATCAATCAAGAGTTATGATTGATTAGAACATTTTCTAGGCAGCCAGATGGCTGAATTCATTATGATAATTGTACATTAAAAAAAAAAAAAACAGGCAGAGGATGCCTACAATTTACAAATAATAATTCGTAAAAGTACAAGAAAACTCGAACATTGGATATGTTTCTGTAATTCATTTAATGAATAATTTGTTGAAATATAAATTATGAAGGCTACTGACAATGCAAACAAAAATGAATGATACACAGTAAAAACGCTGCTTAAAAAAGTGATGTTCACTTACAGTTGTACACTATCTTAAACAACAGTTGAACAAATTGTAAACAATGTTGCTCGAAACGAAAGTAATTTTGTTAAACATTCGCTGTTTAAAATTTAATGACTGCTATATTTACTACACGAGAGCTTTTAGACAGTGTTGTTTACATATGACGTCATGTGTCACGTGCCAGTAAAGTGCGCGTTGGCTAAAAGCTTTGTTTCACATCATGGCCGACCAAGCTGTAGAGGTGTCGTGGATGAGTGGAAACGTCATCGGACTGTCGATCACAGTCCGTCCAAACAGCCCCTAACCTCCCCCCCCCCCTCCCCCCCCCCCTGCGTACGCGCGTTGTTGAATGACACAATGTTTTGCCTCCAAAGTATTCCATTGATTGATAGTAGTTACTTTATTAAAACCAAAAACAGATGAATGGTTTTATTCAATTTGGTTAATTAGTAATTTTGTACAGAGCCTGTTGGAAAAATGATAATGCTGTTGAACAAATTCATTTTCTTTTATTTTCTGGGAACATGTCGGTAAACGTAGATCGACATCAGTGGTTAGCTAGTTAGGCTCTGCTGTGATGTTCTTAAAATGCATTATATACCCCTCCCTTTTCCCATTTCCCCCTAGATAAGAAAGTAAGTAAATGTGTAAAGTATAGACAAACAGTTGGATAGCCCATTTTTAGGACGATTATCAAAATGTTCCTGTTCTTCCATGGGGTCTAACTGCGTTCGGTCTATGGAAGGCTTCTGGGTTTTCGCTGCCAGGTAGAAATGCACTAGATGCGCTTTACTATTGAGAATATGCATTTAATACCCCCCCCCCCTCTCTCTCCTACTAGATATGTCAAAACCCTCCCCAAAACAAAACGAGACTCCTGAAAAGGGGGCAATGTTACTATTTGCTTTCTATCGCTTTCGGATGGATTCCCTACAGGTGAATACAACTCTTCAGACAACGTGGAAATGAAAATCACTTAGCAAATTAAAATCTGTTAAGATTTTGACACCTAATGCAAACCAGAGAATTCGTCATCCGCTGGGGGGAATTATTTGTAAGATAAAACCACGTGGATCTCTGTTGTTTGATTTGCGTATATTTTCTTTATTTTGATAAGTGTCAGAACTTACATTTTGTTTTGTTCTGTGGATTCTAGAAGCGAAATCATGTTTTCCCAATCCAGAGTTAAACACACACACACAAAAAAAGAGGGGGGGGGGGGAGGGAATGCAAAATGAAAAAAACCCACCCCACCACAACCTCTATCGAAAAACGTTATTAACCTAAACATGTATGACAACTAGGGAAAAGGGTAATCATATATGACTGTCAGGTACTTTTTCCACTGGGGTCGAAAAGTGGAAAGGGCACATTTTTTTTTTTTTTTTCATATCAATTATGTATGCCACATTGGCCGGAAAATAAGATACCTGTCTACCCCTCCTAACCTCCCCCCCCCCTTTTCTCTCTTTCTCTCTCTCTCTCTCTCTCTCTCTCTCTCGATTAAAGCCAATAGTGCCTGATGTAACAGGAAATTGGGCTTTGATGCTGTCGAGACTGCAAGAGTTTTACGAGAGTTTAAAAAGTTGGTTTATTCATCGTGGCATAAATGTACGGTTCGGAAGTTAAAGGTAATACAAAGTTTGGGTAATATTTGAACAGGGTTGGATAATGAAATTTAAAATTTGCTTAACCATTGCGTAACCTTGTGTTAGAATAAGCAACTTTGAAAAATTGGTCTCTAAAACACTAAGGATTTCGAGTTATTAAAATATCGAATTTATCGGTGCTCCCGATTAATTTCAAATAGCGCCTACGGCCATACAACTGCGACCATGAAAATCTCGGAACATGCAGTTCTGATATATAATTTCCAAAGGGGAATACACATAGTCAAGGAACATTGTTTTGAAGCTACAGTAATGTCAAACTTGAGAGGGCGCTATACAACATAAAGAGTTTATTATTCAAAATATCATCACTTTAGACTCGATTTCAACCGCGACAACGATCATCGAATATTGTAGGATCGCATATGATTCCGATATGTTCATTTGAACCAAATTCATGACCCCATACCAAAACTTTGTTTTACCTTTAATAAACGTTAGTGTTTATCATTACTATTTTCAATGATCAACAATGTGATGATAATAATCAGAATCAATGCTGCCCTTCAAGAGAGCCGTGTAATTAGTATTACCCCGTCAACTTCCAGGTACCCTATTTTACCATGGGCGGATCGCGAGTGGCGGGTTTGGATATAGTGTCGGGCTTGGATTCGAACTCCCTCTTCTTGAAGGTCCAGTGAATAACCCTCTAATGATACCACGAAACCTCGCCCGATCTCACAATTGTGGTCTGCATTTTGGTACCTTGGCAACCAGGCAACGATATAAATACGTACATGTACATGACTTTTGATATATCTTATTAATAAAGTGAGTCGGTAACATTGTTACAGGCTGATGAAAAAACTGTGTAATTTGTGTATGACATGTTTCTTATTATATTTCTTCTACTGTACTTACCCTCTAACAGGCAAACAATTCTGAAAAAATCTGAAACCATAAAGATATGTATAGTTTTCTTGGAAGGCGTCACTGTGCAACATCCTCTGACAGTGATTAACAGTAAATTCTCCCAACCATTTTTTAATTTTCCCAACCGTTTTCCCTTGAAAATAAGACAATAGACAGGCTTTTAAAAATCTTTCAAGTTTTAAATGTCTGGACTGGTATTAAGAGCAAATTCATTGCTTTATGACGATTTAAATTCACTTAAAATGTAACTAAATTGTAATAATATAGTTGGGAGAATTAAAAAATCGATCAGATCAGTTTTTTTTCCAAATTTGTATCATTAATAATGGTCCGTTCTCACTCAAACTTTCAGATTATCTTTAATTGTACATCTAGCATTGAAATCACTACCTAAGCACCATTTCTCTCATCTGAACAATGTTACCAAGTACCTTTAACGCGTACATTATATTGATGACAAAATAATATTCAGCACAGGCTAGAGGTTGGAGGCCCCCTCGCGTAAATTGTGTTCGTACGCCTATGTAGTGTCTTCTTACGCCTATGTAGTGTGTTCATACGCCTATGCAGTGTGTTCATACGCCTATGTAGTGTGTTCATACGCCTATGTAGTGTGTTCATACGCCTATGTAGTGCGTTCATACGCCTATGTAATGCGTTCGTACGCCTATGTAGTGTCTTCTTACGCCTATGTAGTGTGTTCATACGCCTATAACAGTATATCTTTTCAAAATGAACGAATTTTTGTTCACTTTTCGTCAAAATGTCATCAAACTGATTCCTTGATTTTTCTTTCACATCTCCACACACTACCACCCACATTTCTAACTTATCCTCATTAAACTGTGTTAACGAAGATAAATTTATCTTCATTTAACAACTATAAATGAGGATAAATTTATCTTCGTTTAACAGCTAAATGAGGATAAATTTATCTTCATTTAACAGCTAAACGAAGATAAATTTATCCTCATTTAACAGCTAAACGAAGATAAATTTATCTTCATTTAACATCTAAACGAAGATAAATTTATCCTCATTTAACAGCTAAACGAAGATAAATTTATCTTCATTTAACAGCTAAACAAAGATAAATTCATCTTCATTTAACAGCTAAATGAGGATAAATTTATCTTCATTTAACAGCTAAACGAAGATAAATTTATCTTCCTTTAACAGCTAAATGAGGATAAATTTATCTTCATTTAACAGCTAAACGAAGATAAATTTATCCTCATTTAACAGCTAAACGAAGATAAATTTATCTTCATTTAACAGCTAAACGAAGATAAATTTATCTTCATTTAACAGCTAAATGAGGATAAATTTATCTTTATTTAACAGCTAAACGAAGATAAATTTATCTTCATTTAACAGCTCAATGAGGATAAATTTATCTTCATTTAACAGCTAAACGAAGATAAATTTATCCTCATTTAGCTGTTAAATGAAGATAAATTTAACCTCATTAAACTGTGTAAATGAAGCTACCGAAAAACGAAGGCGACCACGTACGGTGAACTCGTCTTCTTCTTCTTCGTCGTAGCCATTTCAAAATTCAAAACGCGTACGTTATAAAAGGAAAAATTAACAGATTATGGACAACGTAACCGCGAGTGACGATGTCGAATCGAAGAGTGATCTTAAATCTGGTGCTGGCCGCGCGTGTACCATAATGTTCGTGCCCAGACTTTGTATATACTATTAGACAGAGCTCTAGCTGTTTGCAAACAACGGACGCATTGCCCGCGCTCGGCTATTGTTCTCTTTGTTCTCTCTTTGGTTATAGCTAGTCTGCAGACACAGACCCTTGACAGCCATTATGAGTAAAAACAATGTCTAAATTTCAAACATGAAAGTACTGAGTTATGTCATGTAGCTGCTTCTGACACAGTGCAATACTGGAAAAGAAACATAACACATCAAGCAGAATCTGATTCTCCTGATTATTTCATGTGGTTTTATTAAAGAGTAAAGTTGAGTCTGTGTTTACAGACTAGGTTTGAGATGGTGAATAGATAGAACTAATAATCCCCGTGCGACCGGCTAACGACGGTCTTGGGAGAATTTGGGTGTATCATCTCTCTGGTGTATCTGTACATGGAGGTAAATGGGTGTATCATATTCGTAAAATGCAGACCTTTTAACAATCTATCAGGGTGGTTACTTAATTT